GATTTCGCCTCGATGGACCCCGCTCGTGCGGCACTGCTGGCCGGAAAGTCACAGAACGAGACCGAGCAGGAGTATGACCAGCGCCTGAAGCAGCTCACTTTCGATAAGAGGTCTCAACCGACGGACCGGACGAAGACGGCAGAGGAGAAGGCGGCGGAAGAGGCGGAGCGGTTGAAGAAGCTGGAAGAAGAGCGTGTCCGACGAATGCGCGGTGAGGAGTCAAGCGAGGACGAAGAGGAGGATGAAGAGGAAAGTGACGAGGAAGAAGGCAGTGAGGATGACGATGAGGAGTCGTTACCGGACGATGCTAAAGCTTTCGGTTTGCAACAGCCCACGGCCGAGACGAGCACTCGTCCCGAACTGGGAGTCGAAGATGAAGACGATTTTATCATCGACGACGACCTTGTGGAAACGAGGTCCAATGCCAGTCTCTCCTTCGATGAAAGCGATCTGGAGATGGATTCCGCGGAGGAGTCCGAAGAGGAGCCTGAGGATGACCAGGAGGACGAGTTGATCAACGGCTTTACGCTCCCTGATAGCAAGTCCGGCGATGCCTCAACTGCTCCCAACGGCACCGAAGAGCCCACTGACGGCCTGGCATACACATACCCCTGCCCCGGCAGTCATGACGAGTTCCTGGAGATCATCAAAGACGTGTCCATGCAGGACCTCCCTGTCGTCATCCAGCGGATTCGTGCCCTGCACCATCCCCGTCTTCACCCCGACAACAAGATGAAGCTCGGCCGATTCGCAGGCATCCTCGTCGAGCATGTTGCTTACATGGCCGATCTACCGGAACATCCTCCGTTCACCATTCTGGAGAACATCCTCCGTCATATCCACTCCCTGGCGAAGACTCACCCCGACACCGTCTGCCAGGCATATCGCGCTCACCTCCGCCAGATTGCCACGGAGCGTCCGCTCAATCTTCGTGCTGGTGACCTCGTCATCCTCACTGGCATTGCCACTACCTTCCCAACCTCCGACCACTTCCACGCCATCGCAACCCCGGCACACCTCTGCATTTCGCGCTATCTGGGCCAGGGCATCGTCAACTCACTCGCCGATGCGTCCGCCGGCACCTACGCAGCCAGCCTACTCCTGCAATACCAGTCCATCTCCAAGCGCTACATGCCGGAATTCATCAACTACACCCTCAACATGCTGTGCCACCTCAGCCCGAAAGAGCCCAGCGAGAGTCTTGGATCCTTTCCCCTCCGGAGCCCCCAAACATTTTTGCGCCTGAACCTCTCCTCCTCTAAGACCACCATCTCCTCCCGCAAGCTCCGTTTCTGGGATACGACCGACCAATCCCCCTCCAACCCCGAAGAGCTCAAGCTATCCCTGCTCACCACCCTCGTCACCCTCCTCGGCACCGCCTCCGACCTCTGGACCGGCAAATCCGCCTACACCGAGATCTTCACTCCCGTCCAGAACGTCCTCAACCACCTCCGCAGCAGCCTTAAGGGCAACAAGAAGCTCATCCCCACTCAAGTGCGGGACACCATCCAATCCACCCTGGACAAGATTACCACCCAACTATCCCAAGCTAAACTCACCCGTCGACCCCTCCTCCTGCACAACCACCGGCCCCTGGCCATCAAAACCGCCATCCCCAAGTTCGAAGAGTCCTTCAACCCGGACAAGCACTACGACCCGGACCGCGAGCGCGCCGAGAGCAACCGCCTCAAGGCGGAATACAAGCGCGAGCGCAAGGGAGCGATGCGCGAGCTCCGCAAGGACGCCAACTTCATTGCGCGCGAGAAGCTCCGCGAGAAGAAGGAGCGCGATGCCGAGTACGAGCGCAAGTACAAGCGACTTGTGGCGGAGGTGCAGAACGAGGAGGGTCGCGAGGCGAATGCTTACGAAAGGGAGAAGAGACTGCGGCAGGGCAAGCGGTGATTATGATAATCATAATCACCAATCAATTGTTTACTGCTCTATGTGGGAAAACGGTGTTTCTCTATTGTTTCGCCTTTTCTTCCCTTTCTTTTGTTGCATTATTTTTCAACACATGGGTCCATCTCGACGTGTCTGCTCAGTCTAGCTGCGTGTGCCGGGCTGGTCTTTTGGTAATTCTGATGAAGCTAGTTGATATAGATGTATATATTCGTGATTATAGTTATCTGGTTTGATCATTGGGAATGATGATCGTGGAATGGCAGCCAAAAAAGAATGTTTTGCTTTATACAATATCCCCTTTTCCCGTCTATTTAATACACGTATAACTTACACTATATATACTATATATACTATACCACTGAACATCAGTACTATCATCACCCAAGTAAGAAAGAACAAAGCCTTAAGGCAAGAATAGAATCACTGCGACAAGTCCGGCCCAACACTACTCCAATAATCGCACCTCTCTCTCTGCGCCTCCGACACCGTCTCCATCCTCGTCTCATTCGTGCGCAAGAATACCCTCCGATAATCCTCTCCATGCCCATTATTCCACGTCTCCCACTCCGGGCTCCCTGGATACCTAAGCGGATTCGGATCAAAAACCCTAATGAAACTCGTCCAGTAGCCCTGCATGACCGGCACAATCCCCGCATTCGTAGTGAAATACGACGCCGGCGGCGTGCCGCTCACATACTGCGGGCCCCAGATGGCATTCTCTTCCACGGTATGACTGACACCTCTGCCTGAGGCCTCCGCGGCGGGGTCCTGCACAGCATAATGATAGTTCCAGCTGTTGACACCAGCACCCGCGAATACAGAGGACATGTAGATCCCCGGACAGATGTATCTAATTTCACCGTACGCGGTGCTAGCGGGGCGCCAGTAGGGCGAGGAATTGGGGAACTCGCGGGTTTGGTTTTCGTTGAGGTACCAGTTGTTCAGCTTGGTTAGGTGAGTGAAGTTGATGTTGGGGAATTGGTCTTGGATGAAGGTGTCAGCTTCGCCAACGGTGGAGGTCGATTTGGGGACGAAGATCGTTCCTTCGTTGGTGTCGTCGCCGAAGATCACAGGGACTTTGATGAATTTGCCTTGTTGAAAGAGTCGGTATGTGTAGTCTGGGATGAGGGAGCCATCGACGACGGGGCCGTACATATAGAGAGGTGCTTGTTGGGCGGTGGGTAAGGGTGTGTTGATGTTGACACGCTGCAGTTCTGTGGTGTTTAGTCGGCGCAGGCAGGCGAGAGTGTCTGGATCGCTTGCACAGCCGGCGCGGATGACTAGGTTGTTATAGGCGAATTGGCTTTGGTTGACGGTCAACATGGGAGCGAAGCTTTGGGACTCTGCGGCAGCAGCGTGGAAGAGTCCCTCGTCTTTGCCGCCGTATGCTGAAAGATGGAGAGTAATGGACGCTGCACCTGCGCTGTCGCCGCCGATGACAACGTGGCTGGGGTCGCCTCCAAACTGCGGTTGCGGTTAGCAGTAGTTTGATGGATTCTTCGAGTGTTCGCATACCTTGCTGATATGTTCTTGCACCCACTCTAGGACCTTGATTTGATCTTTCAGCCCATTGTTCACACTTCCTCCCTGTAGCACCTCGGATCCAGAGAGGAAGCCGTACGGACCAACTCGATAATTGAAAGTGACCACAACCATGGACATGTTGGCCGCTTCAATCAATCCTGTTCCATTGAAGTTGGGGCTGGAGTTGGCATTGAAGCCGCCGCCTTGGATCCAAACAAAAACGGGAAGTCTCGTAATATCTTTCACTGAGCTGGGTGCGTATACATCGAGAAAGAGACAATCTTCAGACGTGCCTGCGGGAGTGGGATATTGGCTGGTGGGAACACATCGGGGGCCATGCTGCGCCCTTGACATTAGCACAGACTCGCAATACCATTTTTCCAACCTATTGTTGGAAGTATCATACCTTAAACGCATCTTGGACGCCCTCTACCGTGTCAGGATCCCGTGGCGCAGAGAACCGCAGAGACCCAGTAGGTGCAGCGGCGTAGCGTATTCCCAGCCACTGACTGATACCATTGGGTAGAGATTTGCCTTTGTACTTTGTGTAGCCAAGGTCAACTGTAGGGTTCTGAGAAGATACTACTAAAACGAAGAGGAAGAAGAACGGTGCCAAATGAAAGAGAATCATTTTATGTTGTGCAACGAGCCTTGGGGCTACGGAAGCTTCAAACCGAATGAGAGAACTGTAACCCAAGAAATCATACTCTGATCAATGAAAGAACACCCCAGGCATTATAAAGCAACCCCGACAGGAACACATCTCGCGGGAATGGCTCCAGGGTCTGAACAATAGGGTCGCAGATGTGGAGAAAACGTTGCCAGGCAAGGCGCCCTCCTTCCGCATGCGGTGATTCGACATGGTGAAATGAGGAGAATCCTGCCAACACCACGGACCCTATTATATGGGAAGTGTATTGGCCATCCAGATGAGCAAGGCCAGCCAACTAATTCTGGGCATAAGAACTGGGAACCCGCCCCCACGTTCCGAGCCACAGTCAAAGGGAGAAACACTCTGTGGGGGCTAGTATCAGCGGCACTGATGCCGCAACTGAGAAGGGGTCAAACCTAATCGGCAGCTAGGCTGTGCAGATGACGTGAATCGGCAGAGGACTGGTGTCATTGCGCTGTTAAGGGTCCGTACTTAGGGATTGGGCAGTTGTCCCGCTGGTCAATCGGGGGCCTGACGGGCCAACTGAAGGATTGAAGCTAATGACCTTGGCTGGGCTGAGCAGGACCCTGAAATAAGGGACATTGTTGACATTATTTTTGGGATGTGATCAAGTGAACTCAATCGGGTTGAAGTGGAAGAGAAAGTGAAGAAGAAGAAAGAGGGCTGAGAAGTAACTCCGGAGGGGATAATCCGCGCCTCCGCATGTGACGAAATCCCCGCAAATCATCATGTTTTTTTCCCGTCGCGGCTCATCTCTACCAACATTGTCCATCTGACCCGAATTAACAACCCAATCCCAGTCGCATTCGACTCCCTATAACTCTCCTCTAGTATATTCCTCTTCAGTTCCCACAGTCCCGGTTCTACTTCTACCTCCGACGCACGCTCAGGCCCGTCCGCAATGGCACCTCCGCTTCCCCCTCACTCCGAGTCCCCCGCACGCGGGCGACCCGATGAAGACGACGAAGAGGAGGACTACATGTCCATGATCATCGAAGAGCCCCAGCATAAGGAAACCTTTGCGCAAAAGAAGAAGCGCCAGCAACGTGAGGTAGGCTTCTAGGTGCATATCTTTTCCAGCTCCACCTCCACCTAACTAACCCTTCCCCCCTCAATCGCAGGCCGAAGCGCGAGCCAAAGTCCCTTCCAAAGCCGAACGCGCCGCTCAAGAAGCTGCCCGCCGCGATGCCGCCTTATCAACCAGCACGCTTGACCCTTCCAACAAAGGATTTCAGATGATGGCCAAGCTGGGATTCAAGCCGGGCCAAGTACTTGGAAAACCTGCCGCGTCGTCGCAAGATAGTGAGAAGGACAACACCAAGGATCCCGAGCATCGAATCCGGTCTGAGCCCCTCAATCTCATCTTCAAGGAGGACCGAGGAGGAATTGGTCTCGATTCCGAGCGAAAGCGGAAGTTCCTTGAAGAAGCCGCCGAGGTAACTAAGAAGGTCAAGCAAGAAGAGGGCGATTACCGCGACCGCGTCCGGTTGGAGCGTGAGACACGACGGCTTGAAGCTCAGTTCCATGCGGCGCAGAAGGTGGCTGAACGCTTAGATGCGGAGGCCGAGGGCGAAGTCGAAATAGGACCATCATCAACCGAGACCAACGGGGAAGAGACAGAGGAGCAAGAATCGCATGCGGCACCGGATGTGGACGGCGAAGAATCGCAGACAGATACCACCCCCTCCACTACAAAGAAAGCCAAAAGGCCCATCAAACCAACACTTCAGATCAACATACTCTACCGGGGGCTGGTGCGCGAGCGGCAAGAAAAGGAGCGCGCCGTGCAGACGCGCCACATGTTGCAGACATCGCTGCCGTCATCGTTTTTCCCGAACCCACGATTGCCCGGGTATGAAGACTCAACGCTCGATCCTGAGGACCACGAGGCTCTGGGAGGCCGTCGAGAGATGTCCTCCATTCTCGAACAAGAGCTAGAAGAGGAGGATCCGGAACTAGAGGAATTCAATGCGCTGGAGCCAGGCGAGCGACTGGGCCGGCTGGTTCAGTATCTGCGGGAAAAACACCACTACTGCTTCTGGTGCAAATATCGCTACGAGAATGCCGAGATGGAAGGATGTCCCGGCGTGACGGAGGAGGATCATGACTAACGACTTGCCTACTTATAGTAATGGAGACCGGCGTGCTAAGGAACCGCCCATGTGAGTATATGTAACACATTTCTATCTCAATCGTTGGTTGTGAAAAATTAGACTAGCTATAATTATCATATCATGCAGAACATATGCCTAACATTACATAGGGTACCATTCAGGCCCAATCGCCAGGATCGGGATCGCATATATAGTGGATGAAGGAAAAGCCGAGGGCTGAGAGACAGACGATGGGACGCAACATCGCCAAGCAGTTGAGAAGAAAGAAATATCAGTGGTATCAGTCAATGCGCCATGAGCCATCAAACGTACACCCGTGACGACTGATGCAGTGTTCGGAGCAGCCACCGGGATTCAGGAATTGCCACAGAGTGGCAGGATGATAAGAAACAGCACCGTTTCCACGCTCAAGTAGAAGGGTGAAAGGCGGGAAAAGGAATATCAAGAAGCAGGATGGAATGGCCTCAGGCTTTGGCCGCAGGAATGGACTCCATTAGCTGCGTCAACGAGCGGCGTGGGATCGTCTGCAGGGTCTGGAAACAGCCGGTACAGATGCGCAAGCAGCAAAAGACACACCGGTATCGAACATCGCGGTCGAACTTCTGGCAGGTCATGCAGGGAACAGCATGCCAGACATTGTTGGCAGGGGGCATGGACCGATGGTCCTGGTAGCAGGCAAAGTGCAATTTGTTCAGCGGTGCCGCGACAGGCTCAATATCAGGAGGTGTCCATGGGCCATTGTTTTCTTCGCTGGACACAGGCTCGATAGGCGCGCCAGTGTCGTCCAATTCCGGCTCGGGTTCTGGTATGAAGTCTTCCAACGGCTCTTCGGCATCCAGGCGTTGGATGGCAGGTACGGGAACTTCCTTCCTGGCTGGAGGGCTTTGCACAGGCTGCGAAGCAGCAGCATGACGATAGGCCTGATAAGCGCGGGAAGCGGGGGTGTAGTTAGCTGCTGGCGGAGCAGGTTGTGGGAGGTCATCTTGAGGATGGATAGGGGCATTGAATGCGGATGATGATGGTGGCTGCACGGCGGCAGGCAGCGGAGCAGGAGCCGAATAATCAGGAACCGAGTCGGTTCGCGGTGGGATTACCGTCGTCACGGGTGCCTGTACCGGCTCTGGCTCCTTGTCCGGCAGAGAATCCGAGGACTTCTGTTTGAAGCCTTTACGAGCAAAGGATGGAACTCGCAGGCCGCGGGGCCGGTTTTCTTTGTCGAGAATGGCCATGTCTCTTGGCCGAACGCGGCAGTCTTCTGGTGGTGGTGGTGGTGGTGGAAATGGTGGTAGTAATAGTAGTAGTAGCAATAACGTGGGAGAGCACGGTCAATTATCCGCGCAAGTGATCTGGCGGGGCAACTTTCCTACAAAGAAGGGAAGAGCGATAGTAGGAAAGAATGAAAGAGGATAAAGAGGGAAGGAGATTAGGAAGGGAAAGAGTGCGAAGCCTGATAACCCTAGAGAGTGCTGTGAAAAGGGTAAAGGCCAAACAAAACTAGAGGGAAAATGAAATGAAAAAAAAAAAAAATCGATTTCAACCTGAACAGGCGCTAAAACAAGACATTCAAGGAAAAAGAGACCAGTAGGAAGTAATTAGTGTTAACTAACTAATCATCAGGGGGGACCGAAAAAGTGGATATGTGAAAAGATAAATCCGGCTTGTCCTCTATCCAGGAACGCGCAACAGGAAATCCGAGCTGAACCATGGATGAGCTCCACCCGTGGATAAGGACGATGATGCATCATGAATGAATGAGCGTCATCGAGGGAAAAGTGGGGTGGGGGAAACAGCTGAGGGAGGAAAAGGAAAAAAAAAAAAAAAAAAAAAAAAGAAAGAAAGAAAAGAAAAGAAAAGAAAAAGCCGAACTACTAAAATCATAATAAATAAAAGTAAAAAGGTAAAAGAAAAAGAAAAAGGATCGCCGCCTGCCGGGTTACATCATCGGACATTTCTGCAAATCATCGGGTTTCTATACAATAGAAATCCATCTCGGCGACATACTGTGGAAGAGGTACCCTTATCAGTTTGAGAGATTTGCCAGACTTCTGCAATTTAGCC